AGGAACAATGGCTGCTGCTGCTCACGACACTTCTCCTGCAGCTGGTGGAGGGAGAAGATCATATCTACTGTGGATCTGCCAGCTCTGAAGCCACACTGGGACTCTGGATAAACTCGCGAAGCAAGAGTCTGCAGGCGACCCAGTGCGACACGTGCAAAGACTTTGCCTACAATGCTGAGGAGTGAAATGCCGCGACAGTTATTACAATCACTTTGGTCACCCTTGTTTTTGTAAAGGGTGACTATACTAGCATCTCTCATGTCTTGTGGGATGTGTCCTTTCTCCCAGCAATGGCAGAGGAGCTCATGAAGTGGCTGGAGGATGGAAGGTTTGCCGTGCTTTAGGACTTCTGCTGGTATGCTGTCCAACCCTGGTGCCTTGCCGCAGGCGAGGTTGTCAATGGCTTTGCTGAGCTCCTCTAGTGTGGGCATCTCGTCTAGCTCCTCCATGGCTGGAAGTCTGGGCAAGGCATCAAGGGCAGCGTCTGTCACGATGTTCTGGGTCGAGTAGAGCTTGAGATAGTGCTCGACCCAACGCTGCAGTTGCTTGCTCTGGTTGGTGATGACTTTGCCAGACTTCGCTTTGAGCGGTGCTGTTTTGACACTTGTAGGGCTGGTGGCCGTCTTGATCCCCTCGCACATCCCTTTGGCGTAGCCACAGTTGGTGGCTGTCTGGATCTTGGTGCACAGGTTCTGCCAGTACATGTTAGCACAGCAGCAGGTGGTCTGCTGGGCTTTGCTCTTAGCTACTCTGAGGGCGTTGCGTGTGCTATGGCAAGAGTTCTGCTTGAATGCCAGCAGGGCTATCCTTTTGGCTTCTGTGACTGGCTGCATTTCATCCCAATGCGCCTCGAACCAGTCAGCATTCTTGCGCTCTTTTTTCCTGAAAGCGGACATGGCCGAGTCGTAAATAGCGTCGCGGAGGTGAGACCATTTGGTGTCTGTGTCTTCGGTTGTAGGCTGGTCAGCAAACTTCTTCTGAAGGGTAGCAAAGCTCTGAGCCTTGGCTGGTTCGGCAGTAGTGCAGGTGTTGATGCGAGGGCGACCCTTAGACTTGGCATGATGGATCTTACGCGGCTTCAGCCTGATCTTGCTGCCAACGAGGGAGTGATCCGAGTCAGTCTGCGCTGTGGTAGCTTCGCGTGTGAAGGACGCTGCTGAGGTCCGCTCTCCTGGTGATGATGAGGNAAAAAAACTCACTTTGGCCTCAAAGATTAAAAAATGATCTAGAAAATTAATATCTCATTCATATGCAGGTACAGATGTACTTTGCAACCTTTGGAAGATATGAAAATGAAGGAAAACTATTCTTGATATTACAGAGACTGTTTTTTAACAGAAATGCTCCATTCACCCCTTATATTCAGACTTGGCTATCTAAGATTTCCAACATTGAATGCCATTATTCAAACAATATTCCTGTGAGGTACAGACACCAACACTTCTTCGCATTCACATTGTCATGTAACTTTAAGTGGAATTGTTTTGAATATTGACACAATTATGTTGTTACAGGCCCAAATGTTGTTTTGTTGATTTGTAGTCAGTTGTGTGTAAAGGAAATGAACCACAAATCATCACAGAACTACATTTGAACCTGACCTTATTTCTAAACACATCTAGATCTATTTATGTGTGAATGTATCTTACAACATTTATACAACCTATACCTGTATGTACAAATTACACAAATACATGACATTTTCCTTCCGTAGAGTATTGTCAACAAAGGGTTTTATGTGACTGTAAACCTATGATTGCCATCTTCGTTTTAGTGCAATTGAAAACTGTTATGAGAAAACAATTTGAAATGTTTTGTGTAAAAGTGCTTCTATATACATAGTTATATATCACATGTATGTTAATGTCACGTATTTGTGCAGCTGTCAGTGTACAAAGACAAAACATAATAACAACAACACTTGACACATCAACACTCTAAAGTACTTGACTTGTACATTACAGGTTTCACTCTCCTGACAGCTCAGCATAAAGCCTGGTGCACTCTGTTAGCTGATTTTTGTCACAAGCAAAAGTGATGGTTGCTGTAAGGAATTTTTGAAGCCGAGCCCTCTTGAGCCTCTGGTTGCAAGTGACAAATACTTATTGCTTTATAGAGTGTGCCAGGCTTTAGGTGGCTTGTAATGGGTAACAGCCGTTGCATTTTGATGGATTGATACTACCACCCTTCAATAAGTGATGCTAGAGTGAGGGTAACTAACTTTGACGAGGGGGGGGGGGAAATTAAGTTTCCTTGAGTTCAAGTAAGTAGTCAGAACACCCTTAGTTTTAGCTCAAGTGCTTAAAACTCAAAACTGAGCTTAGTGATTCATCTTTGTTATCAAATGATGACTAAAATATCTTGCAGTTTGAAAAGTTCTTTAGACAAGTTCAAAACATCCTAAAATGTTTGTTTGATGTAACTCAGAAGTCTGATCCTTTTTAAATGTGTTTGGTATCTGAACATGCCAGGCACTATTTGATAACAAAACATTAGATTGCCCAAGTTCACTTTGAGTTAAAATGACACAAGCTAAAATTAAGGGCATTTTAACAAGTTATTGTTTCTGTGGTAATCTATTATGTCAGTCCTTTTTTTGAACACTATTACTCACATCAATTAGTCTTTTTATTGTGACAGTATCAATCCATCAATTTACAAGGGTTGTAAACCATAACATACCACCAGAGGACCTTATTAAGAATTCCACACTGGTAAATTTTTGAAACCCAACAAGAACGATTATTCATTGTTGGGTGGCCCTTTAGTGCGGTAGTTAGATTCTACTTAACTTTGAAAAAAAACCCCCACTAAATTGAATTGTGAGAGGGGCTTTACTGGACAGCTTCCCCTGAATTTTCACCTAGCAATTTTAGGAACTGAACATTAAAAAGAAAACATTTGTGCAAAGTTGTGGAATTCTGAAAAAGGTACTTTGACAGTTTTTGATGACTCTTTTTTTAAAAGTCAACCTTTGCCAATATTTTGTTGCTCACTATACAGAGCAATTTTTCTGGTCAGGTTTTAACCTCTTCACTGAAGACACGTTTCAGTTTGTTTGTCTCATCTCAATAATACATGTATGCTGCATGTGCAGCAGTCCATAATCCAGTTATGGGCAAGAATAGACTCGATAACCTCAGTTTTGTGTCTTCCGGATAACAGGTATCATTTAGATGAACAGTATGTAATGTTTACACAATGTATAAACATGCTCTGCTGCTACTACTGGTAACTACCAACAGACAGTGGCAGTCTACTGTTTTGTCATTACTTTGTGTAACTTGTTAATAATTCTGTTTTTCATTTTTTGTTTCACTATAACTATTTACTTACTTTCACCTTAATCAAACATTGACTATCTAGTTATCTCCCATAAGTAAAACACTCTTAAAAACAGCAAAACAGCCAGCCTCTAAATCTATAAGTCTCAAAGCCTGATCTATTAAAAAGCAAAACTGGTTATTGGCTTACTGGGCCTTAATTTTATGAACCAGTTTCCTGTGGATATATACAGTAATCACCTTTCTTTTTTTCTTTTTTTCTTCTTTTTTCAAGGTTTTTTTTTATCTTAATGAAAACAGTTAACAATAATATCATAATAATGTGTTAACAACATTACCAATGGGACAGAGAACCTGAGTACTCCATGTAGAATTAATCTTTCTGCAAGTTGTTTTCTTTTCTTCCCATCAGTCTGGAACCTGTGGAGAAGACAAACCTGAGGTAAAACACCAACTGCTATAGCACTGTGACAAGAATAATATTGAAAACAATATTGTTACTTTTTCGTTGATGGAGTAACACGTATATAACTAGAATAATGAATCACAACAGCTAACAAAAATAGAACATTTAGCAAAAAGTAGCGCCTGTTTTAACTGTAAAGATAAGATAATAACCTTTATTTAAGTGTCAATACAAATTTTAGTGCATTTCCAGCACTACAGCTGCGGATACTAAGAAAGTAACTGTAAAATATAAAAGGGACTGAAATTTCTTTTAATAGAGGTCCTATCCTCAAAAGCATTTTAACAGCAAAAATTGTGTAACGAAATATTGATTGCACACTAACAGGGCATTGTGATATTTGAAGGAAAATTAAGATTTACCCAAATAGCAATGGAGAAAAACAGGGTAGACTGCACTGTTGAATCAACTGTCAATGTTATTTTGCCTTGTTCTTGACAAAGCCTTCCAGGTCCACCAGTATACTCCACCCTAAAATGTGACTTGGCCCCTGGTGCTACTCTGTTTTCACTCTCACAGCGAATGTTTGGAACCCTGAAAACCTAAAAGTACAAGGATAATTTATGGTGAGTAACAAAGTGTAAAATTAATATAAATTGATATTTTTTATGTAAACATAATATTAGTGAACACATGAAGTATTGCGGAGAAAGTCGAAGAGAAAAAAATGCTGGGATTCAGTCATTCAACACTCCAAAAATAGCTTTTCCAATAATGTCTAATACATTGTAACATTGCAATGTAACTGTAAACAAGCATAATTTTTTTTTACAAAATTACTTGGAAATATAATGTACTGAAAAACTCAGATTTTATCTGAAATCAATACATCATTGTTGTCATAATTTAAACAATTTTGTTTTGTTAACTATATAACAGCCTGTGAGAAGGCTCACATGTTTGTAGGGTTCTTTTTGGGTTTCACATGGGCTTTAGTGTTACTGAGTGAATTTGTCTTGGGCCACTGATCCAAACAAGAGAGCCTGCTCACGAACATGAGAGCCTGTTTGTAGGTTAATATTATTCTTATGAACTTACGTATTCTCGTCCAGCATCTAGAGTGACAAAGTTTCGCTGCCATTGGCTCTCTAGTTCAAATGACACTTTCATCTGCTCCTGCACATACAGGGTATGAAACTCTCGGCTCCTGGCATTATCAACAGCAAATGGAATTTGTCTGGTTTTGTAGCCTTGCTGTGATGTTGTGTCATCGACGTAACTCTCCAAAATGGCTTTGTAAACCTATGAAAAAGTCATTTTCTGTAAATATGAAGTTTTAACAAGTGGGTACAACTGTGGCTTGGTAGCCAAGAGATTGGCTAAATTAATCTAAACAGCAATCCACTGAATATGAGTGAATCGTTCATAGTTTGGTCTCCCACCCCTTTTTTGATCCGAGAGGAAAAAGAAGTCAAACCCGGGTTAAGTAAAAGTCTTTTCTGACAGCATGTTACAATTATAAATAATCTCTCACCCTGGTACCTTTTAAAACCATTATTCAAATACAGTATATGTATGTGTTTTTCATACCACCTGCCAAACAACTTCAAAAAAAAACATCTGTTATTAAATTAGAATTAGTTTTTGTCAGAAGGATTTGAAAGTAAGTTAACAGTGCTAAACGTTGCTTGAATCTACAGTTGTACAACATTTTACCTGGTATTTCTCTTCGGGAATTATAAACAGGATATACAACTTCTCATTCCTTTCTTGGTGTGTTCTTTCTAAGAGAAACAGTCTCGCCATCATTCCTGGGCATGGACTCTGCACTGAGCGCTCACAAAAATCTGCAAGGGATTGATATGTAATCGGAATCAAAAGTGTTAGTGGGCGGGTGGCCTAAATTGAAAATTACTGTTTGTTCTTATACGTGAAATACTGAGACACTGAAATGGAAGCAGTT